CTTGTGCCAAAAGGGTTGTAAGTAATGTTAATACTTTCTCGTGGTTCTGCAATAAAAGCATGTAACTACTAGTATCAACACATCATTCAATATCATGTGCATATTTTTGTACATTTAACTAGTGGTTCCTGGTGATTTTTGGAAAAAACTCAAATGTTCTTAACACAAAATTCTGATATAAAAATATTTTGATTTCCTTCTGGACACATAGACATAGAATGGAACCACTTCTCAAAAAGAAATCTAGAAATAAACGATTCTGAAATTAAAAAATAAATTAAAGAATTAAATATTTAAATATTAAGGCCATCTTTGCAAATTAGCATATTTCTATATTTTTACACAAAAGAAAAGAAAACCTACACCTAAAAGAAAACCCATTATTGAAGAAATGAATTTTAGAGTTGGAGCTCATTCTTCCCAGTAAAGCAAACTATAAATTTCTACATGCAGACTAATACCTCCTCTGTACACGAAAAAAGGCCTATTGCATAAAAATGAATGATCACTACACATCTTAAAATAAGACTAATTTCTTGTAAATCTGAAAATAAAAGATCTCTGAGTAAAAAAGAATTTATAGCATAAAGATGGCACTTTGCTTTAATAACCAAGAATAGAAAAGACAAAAGAAAATTAATGGTTCTTAAAAGAATCACTTAAGTACAACACAAAAAAAAAAAATTATTTTGAGTAAAATGATTTTTTGCATGATCTATATTACTTTCTTAACTATCTACTAGTAATGGCAAAAATCTTGCAATCCCAAACACTGAGAAAAAGAATCACACAATACAAAATTTACTATTTAAAGTTTAATACTATTGTACTATTATGCATTATCGATGTTTTCTAAAAAAGGAAATTATAGTGGCCTATCAAACTACAAATGTTATCTGTATTTTTCAATTTAAAGAGATTACTTTTCCACCACTATCATCATATTATTTCTTTCAACCGAAAACTAAGTTCCCCTTCTTCATTCCAACTGAAATAGCCCCTTAAATTTGATACTGAAAGAGAGGAACCTCCCCTGTGAAGGCAAAGGAATGATTTATGATGACAATTTCCCAAGGTATTGTGGTATTTATTAAGCCTGAGTTACAGAACACATGAAATATTAATAACATTAATATGTCCTTTATTATCTCAACCACAGGTGTCTCATCTCTCTTCTTACACTACAAGTGCACATCACCTCCATTGACTGTGTTTAATTGCAGAGTATGACTGGCAAGAAGAGTTGTGGTAACAAAATTCAGATAGGAAAGGGTTTTCGAGATACTCTGGCCTGAATGGTGCATATCAGATATATTGTTAAATGGTTTTTGCATTAATTTCACGAGTGGAATATCAACAGAGGGAATATGTTAAATCACAATAATGGCCTTAGACATGTGATATCGAAATTGATTATACCTACTCAAATATTAGCTGTTTACTTAAGAAATACTAAAAACCAAAAATCACTTACTCCAGCAAGAACATAGAGATGAATAGCGTCCTCAAGTAGTCCTTTGCGTTCAGCTTCAGATGCAACCAACTCAATAATTTGTTTAGCATCAGCCTAAAACAATTTTTAAAAAATTTCATCAATTACGGAACTAGAAAAACATTGTAGTATATATTTTGTAATTGTCTAAGATTATTACTTTATTTATTTATTTTTTATTTATTTATTTTAATTTATTAATGGTGGCAGCAACAAGCTATTGTACACATATCATTACAACGGTGTAAAATAAAGTTATATAATAAATAATTTTCGTAGAGTAATTACAGTTATAATTAAATCACAATTACAAATCACAGACAATACTACTTGTGGAGATATGCGCGCGTGTGCGTGTATATATATAGGCACTCAGAGTTTCCTTTTGTACACTAAGTGCGGGAAGTGTATTCCATGTATTTACCACTCGGTTCACAATAAAATGAGAACGTTGTCCTGTCCTTGTCCTCTCTTTCACCAGCTTCAACGCGTGTCCTGTAAGTCTAGACTCCGTGGCTTTAATGAAAAAGTTGTTGAATTCAGGAAAGTTATAAAATCCTTTCAGGATCTTAAACGTTTCTACAATATCATTTCTACTTCTTCTCTGTTCTAATGTTAGAAGAGACATTTCTCTGCATCTTCCTTCATAATCAAGTTGACGTAGTTCTCTAGGGATCTTGGTAATCTGCCTTTGTACTTTTTCAATGTTTTTTATCTTTCTGATAATAGGGGGACCAAACCACATTAGCATACTCTAGTATAGGTCTGATATATGCTGTGTAGATCAGTTTCACCATAGATGGACGTAATGCAGAGAATGTCTTTCTAATCAGGTATAGTAGCTTATTGGCTTTTTTAGTAACGGTAAACACTTGGTTATCCCGTTTCAGATTTTGAGTAATAATAACGCCAAGATCATTTTGTTCTGTCGTAGAGTTGAGGATGTGATTTCCAACAGTATAATCAATATTTGGGTTATTACTTCCTAAATGAAGGACAGTGCATTTATCAGAATTCAAAGGTAATAACCAGGACTCCGACCATCTCACCACTTTGTGGAGGTTAGAGAAAATTTTGGTGTCGTCCGCATAGCAATTCCAACACGAGGATAGTTCATTACCTAGGTTGCCTGGAATGTCCTGCCTGATAAAAATTCCTGGATTCACTTCAATAGCTTGCCTCGTATACCCAAAGACGAGAGTTTGTGTATGAGGCATTGATGTGGAACTTTATCGAAAGCTTTAGCATAATCCAGATATATGATGTCGACTGGTCGTTTCTGGTCCAATTCCTTGGTCCAATTCCTTGGTCCATATATCTAGCGACTGTAGTAAATTTGTAGACGTTGATCTTCCTGGGATGAAACCGTGTTGTTTGGGGATGATCTCATTTCCAAATGCATGATCTAGAAGCCGTCGGACAATTACCCTTTCCATGACTGCACACTGTGCTTGTTAGACTTATTGGTCTGTAGCTTTGTGGTAACTTTTTATCTCCTTTCTTGAAAACCGATGTGATAACAGCTTTTTTCCATTCAGAGGGCAATTTCCCTAATTCTAAGGATTGCTTGAATATTTTATTCAGTATGGGAGGAAGTTGTAAATTACAATTTTTCAGATACACGGTTGGAATACCATCGGGTCCGGTGGATGAGTTTGCATTCAGTCCGCACATTATCTGGGCAGTTTCAATACTTGAAAATTCTATATTTTCAATAATTCTGGTATATCTCTCTTCAATGGTCGGCAGTGGACCTTCTCGTTCAACAGTATATATCTTTCCGAAATCATTAGAAAAACATTCCGCAATTTCACTTGTGTCAGTTATTACAGAGTCTCCGTTCGTGATAATCATAGGAGGGCCAGTTTTACAATAGGTTTGTCTTCGTATGTAAGAGAAAAATCTTTTGCCACCATCCTGAACAATTTGTTCTTCGTGTTTTTGATTACATTGTCTCACACTTGAGGTGAGATTCTTTGAAATGTTTCTGTAGATGGTGTAATTTTCATGTGTTCCAGTTCTTCTATATTTAGCCCATGCACGTCGTTTAAGTCTGCTTTGTCATGCGATGTCATGATTAATCCAAGGTTTGTTTAAATTTGTTTTCCTATTCTTGATGTGTGGTGAGTAAGTATTTAAAAGACCTGAAGACGTTTTACGAAAACTCTCATAATTAGTTTCAACATTGTTGTTTTCAGTTTCTTCGTTAATATCTGCATTTAGTAATGCCTAGTGTTCAGTAAGAAGGTGACTCATAATCGTTGTATAATCTGCTCGGAAGAAATTGCGTTTGGAGATGGAGTTATTAGAGACACTATTTTTCATGGGCGATTCTGCTTGTAACGATGTCATAATCACTAAATGATCACTTTGACCAATACTTGGCCTTAGGATCGGGGGTGTAATGATATCTTCATCATTTGTTAATACTAAATCTAGAATCGCAGGAGTTTGATTTACTCTGCATCTAGTGGGCTCAAATACCATCTGAGAGAGATTTGAGTCTATATAGTATCTAATAAATTCTCTTTCAATTTCTGTGTGCAGAGTAGCTCCACGTTTGGTCCATGTAATTGTAGGAAAGTTGAAATCTCCAAAAATAATGTCTGGTATCTTAAGATCACATACTATAACCATTTTCTCAAATAATTTGAGGTCTCATTGCCGAAAGCGACAAGTGGTGCTATCTACAGCAATTAGTACAGTCACTTGATTTTAATCTCACTTCAGGTTTTGAGGTTATATTTTAATTCGGGAGGAAAAAATACGCTCAATCTTTTCCAATCTCACGCAAATATTCCTGCCTCCAATTGCACAGTCAGTTTGGAAGTCCAACTATCTAACAAACTCAAAAACAGACTTCCCTTTTCCACAGATCCACGAAAAAAAAAAGGTTACTCAGTAGCACTCGTAAACACACCACACCACGTTCGTTCGTATCATTCCATTCCATCCCATCCACTTTTGTTAGTTTCCACTCGTTTGGAACAATCAGGATTTAAACAAGTGAAGAAAAAATGTATTACTCTTGTAGTATGTCTGATTATTCACATTTCAAAAATGGGTGTGTCTTTGTCATCAGGCTTCTAACAGCATTACTACTTTATTCACCTGCACTCCTTGGAAGGAATCGATCAGACCAGGAATACGGCAGCCGTCAAGTGACAAGCTTCCCAGAACTAAATCAAAATTGCGGGCTTCCATAACAAGATCACTGATGCACAACATGAATAAATTCTGTCCTTCTGGTGTCTTGATGTTTCTGAAGAGAAAAAATAAAAGGTTTTAGAAACAAAAAAGACACTAAAGACTTACAAAGTGAAATATAAGTCATTTAAAAACTAAGTCTCTACCTGAGAAAATAATAATACTGAAGAGCCTCTTTAGGATCCGATGACTCAAAACGACGTACATACAGCATTAGAAGTCGCGCAAGGTTCAATCGCCGCAGTGGTGGCCGATCATCTGGCATTGAAGACACTACATCAAAAAATACGATATACGATCCAATAAAATTATAATTGTTGCTATACTGTAATAAATTAACTCACACAGAGGAGCTTGGATGCTGTGAGGCAATGCTAGAAGTTGCAGCTCACTCAAGGCCAAAGCTATGTGGATAGCATGTGTTCGTAACCGATCCTGTCGAGATAAGAACTCCACAGCAGCTTCAAACTGTCCAGTTAAGAATAACATTTGGAAATAAAGTAGAGGTTGGGCACTTGCATTGTAGTGCTTTTCACCTGGAAATCACCATGAGCAAAGTATGAACAAATCAAATATATTCTGCAAACTAGATTTCCAAGATAAAACTAAGAGCTAATTTTCAAAATGATGCATCTTCATTTGTGTTTGTTTCTAGTTTTACATATCAGCTTTTTCTTAAGATGCACCTCCAACATGCTGCCAAATATTGGGTTAAAAATGACATTTCGATTATGTTAAATCATATCCAAAAAATGTTGAATCCTATATTGAACCAGTTTTGAATAGTTTCTCTTCCTGAAAAATTGTATTTCTTGAGGATACATTACTTTAAAATAAGATCTGCAAATCTCAAAATGTATTGAAAAATAATTATATTATAATATCATTCAATATTCAGAATGCAAAAACCAAATTGAAAACACTAGCAATAACACCCATCAATATGTGAATCTCTTCACTTAGTAATTAAAGATTTCCAAAGGTTCTTTCTTTTCTTGAGCATGAAATAATATGCTACATACAAAATATTCCATAGCAACACAGTGACACTTTGATTTTACAATCCACGACTTTACATTTTTCCGGGATTTACGCCATAACCGAGTAGTTTCGGCAAACCATCCATACACGAAATATATAATTTTCCTCGATTTTACAGTTTCGTGATTTTGCATCTTGTGAAGTAACTTGTGAAGTCAGAATTTAGACTGTCATTTTGAGAGAAAAGGCGGCAACGATGGCAATAGTTTCGGGAAGGGTGGTGGGGATACACATAAATGTTGTGTTTTACTATTCAAAAATTTGTATTTTAAAAGTTGATGTTCACTTTGGAAAGCAAGTACACTTTGCCACCAAAATGTGTTTGAGTGTGTCAATTTTGAATTCAATAGTTCAAATCACAAAAATCACTGAAAACGTCTGATAGCAGAATTGGAAACTACCCTCACAAGTTGGTTTAAGCTAGAGAGAACTCATTAAGCCATCGATGGATCACATATAAAAGAAAAGGTACTACATATAGCACTATGTTAAAGACTTGAAGGCTTCAAGGCGTCAAATGGCTTGCTGGGCTGCTTCAAAAGGTGTCAATCTGATTTACAAACTGCCTCTGCAGAATGTGCAAGTGTGAATCCAGCCACTAATTTGAACTGGAAACAGCAGATTCATCAGCTAACTGAGGACCATAAATGAATATTTTCAATGCAGACAAAACTGGTATAATAATAAAGAGTCACTGCGCAGCTGGCAACGGAAACAAAAAATTGTCTCCTTTAGTTATCGGTAAGTTTCAAAACCCCAATTTAAAAACATTGAAACTATTCTAACAAAATATAAGGTAAACCAACAAGCCCGGATGACTGGAAAAATTTTTGAAGACTTCCCTTACAAGTAGGTAGGCAGATGGGGGCCAAGAATCTCAAAATTGTCCTCTCCATAATCAGTGTGCTGCTCAACCAAAAGAAACTATGTGGGCTCTGAAATTTATGTTACATTTTTGTCAAAAAACATGGGTTTCAAATTGAAGGTGAGAGGGAAAACATTGAAGTTCACTGCCAAAGGAAAGGAAACGTACGAAATCTCTGAGGAAGAGGGAGACAAGGAGGAAAAGGCGTCATACAAGCTCATAGATGACTTGACCCTGCTCAACAATATTTTCAGCTATTTAATGTAGAAGAAAGTGTATTGGTTTCATTCAACGATACAGAAAACAAATTCTACCTGGGAAAGCAGTCAATTTTAGACTCGGTGAAGAATTAGTTGTGTGCATTTTAAAATAGATTTATTTTTCTAAGGTTCCTTTCTATGCAATTGAAGTTTTAATGTATTATTTATCATGACTGCAACATTACTAAAAACCATAATTTAGTGTTTAATGGAAGTATTATGCCACAACTTAAGAATATTTTAAACAATTATTGTCATTACTGTAATCTAAGTTAAAGAAACATGTTGAACGGAATATGCAAGTAAACGGGCAAACGTTTATGTTGAAAAGTAAATTTTAATATAGTAACAATATTGTAAAAATAATAGAAAAATGTGATAAACAATTTTAATTTTAAATAATACTATTTTCATATGTGACCCAAAAATATATTTCCTTGCAATGCACTTCCCATTCTATCTCACAACATGTTAAACTTTTGAAATATTTTTCATATGTTTGTTTCACGTCGACAGGAACGTGGTGTAGGGGAAGGAGTTCTAAAAGAAATGTTATGCCATGTCTCAAATGGCAGTAGTTCTTGTCCAGTTTTTCATTGTATTTACTTTCTACGTATCGTACCTTCCTAGAAATAAACAGTATAAATATAATTATAGATCTAAATTGTAATGACTTGTAATCACTTTTGTAGAATACACGTTTGATCAACACCTTCTTTGCATCCTTATGCATGGTTCATGGCTACATTTTCCAGGTGTTTCCTCACATCATTTACAAAACTTTCACAATGTTTCCAGTGTATGTAAAAACACTGACACACATATTTTAATGATCATCTCCCAAAAGTCAGAATTGTTTACTTGACCAGTTTTCTTGCCATGAACATTCTACACACATCGAGTTTGGAAGATAATTGCCAGCATATCGACTCTATAATTCCTCTGATGCATAATATAGGAATAGTAAATGTATAGTAGAATCATTTTTCAGATGAAAGCAGGGAAATTTACCGTTTATTTCTTTCCAAACCCGTCTTATTATTTCGAAAATCATGAAACAAGACAGAGTCTAAATATTTAAGAATATCTTAGCACACCATTACCATCCAGTTTGCCAATGCCCTCCTGAACACAAAAATGTCTTTTGTACTCAATCATTTCTCTTTTTCTTAATCACTTTAAGAAGTATTTTTTCATTCAACCTTTGTGTGATAATGCTATTCCTTCGTTTGATAATAAATTTCTCTTCAAAACTTGGTGATATATTTGCTACTGTCACCCACACCACTCATGAATTTGCATGTATTGAACAAGAGGGCTAGAAAAAAAGGAACAAAAGAAAGAATGGTCATACAGTATTTACTCAGAAGGTATCCAAAATGCTAGGACAGACATTTAAAAAATATCAGCGTTGAAATATATCAAACAAAAGCTTGAGGATGGGGACAATACACAAGGAATCGCAATGATGCTTCCCGGGTATTCTAGGTAAATTCAATAATTTTGAATGAAATATACGTGTCCCAATTTTTAACATATTGTATATAAATGAAAATTATGAAAAGTCTCAAAATTACAAAAGTTACTGTTCTAGTATTCAGAAGAGAGTTATGTAATGCTACATCAAAAGAAACCGTGAATTTTTGGCAGACAAAAGGTAGACGTAGGCAAAAAAATTATTACCTCGATTTTACACTTTTTTTTTGTATTCACATGAGTTCCTAGAGTGGCGTAAAATAAAGAGGTTTCACTGTATTAAATAATATGCGTAGTAATATTAAGAACAGTATAGCTAGTTTAAATTATTTAAGAATTCAACAAGAACCTTAAGAAATCTTTAATATAGTCTTTTACAGTCCCAAGGAGTTGTTTTTTTCCACCTACCATATTCCTCAAGAATTAACGACTGAAGATGCGGGTATGTAATAGAGTCACTCCCTGGTTGCTGGGAATTATCTTCTCTAATCTGACACAGTTTCATCCACAGGTAGTCATCAGCAGTTTTCAAAATGAATGTATGTTCTTCAGCAGTATCACAAGCACCCAGAGCACAGTAGACAACTCTGCATCACAAATTAGGGTACGAGACAGATTTATGTCAAAGAATAAATAATCAAACCATACATTTCTTAAATTTTTTTTAATATAATCTCAAAAAACGTAGGGAATTAAAATACAGCAATAGCTTTTACTTGAACTGCTCCTGTGCCATTTTGTTGGGTTAGTTGTTCATTTAATCTTTATAATTCATTACCATTATGTTAATTCAAGAATTTTTCTGGTGTTGCTTATATTGTAAGAATAATTACTGTACTACAATAAATGATGAGTGGCAAGTAAGAAACGTATAATGAAAACTCATTTTTAATTCAATTCAATAGTATTAATTTCTATAATCAAATACATGAAGAATGGTTTACTATATTCTACTACTTCTACTGTTTTATACATTGCAGATGCACTTCTTATCACTGCAATGCATTCCACATGAAATTAACAAAAGAAACGTAAGGCATGTCTGATTACTTACTGGTGAAGGAAATAGAGCAAAATTACACAGAAAAACTTTTAATTAATTTTTCTCACAACTGTATCATCAGGGTTAAGCTGTTTTTGCATCCAATTCTTCAATTGGAAACAATTATAGCTTAAAATTCATACTTCCAATATTTGTAAATAAACAGATTTACTCTGCATTGAAAACTAGAAATAAACTATAGTTTATTTTTAATAGTACCTCTATTGGCTTCAGAATCCACGTATCTTTGATGTACAAACTTAAAGGATGTCGCTTGGGTTTTACTCACCGGTTCCCAAACTACCGAGATTGTGTAACAACTTCGTCTGTACCTATTTTAAAAAGTTTGCTAGGAAATTTTTGTTATCAGATTTTCACAGAGAATAGACTTTTGTATAACACACTGTATTATATTTTATGTTATTACAACATGTGTTTGAGAAATAAATAAATAAAATAAAATAACTATCTTGAACAACTACTCACTTTTTAAATGGATCTGTTGATGCTCGAACACTGCGTTGATAATGAAATCTAAGGTGTTGCTCAAGGCGTGTACTCAAGCGGCGATCTGGGCTTTTTTCCAATTCCTCTAGTACAGAAACAAACTCCTCCAGAGCAGATCTAAAATAAAATATTAAACTTTTCACAGAACAATAAAAAATGCATAATTTACAACCAGTTCTAACTTATACTAAAATGAGCCATGTAATGTTCATGTTACCCAAAATGGGTGGATAAATTCATAGGATCAGCTTCAAAACGTATTTCAGCTGGATGTAGTACACATTAGCGAACAAGGTGTCTCGGGAAGATGAAATACATTACGATGACAAGAAATACAGACAACATATGATGAACCGGGATCTGACTCGTCAGAAGTTTTCAAGGTTAGCAAGAGACAAGGAAGTATTGTTTCGAGTTTCAATGTGTCAAATGTAAATTTCTATTTACACGATCCCACCTAACCTCATTATACAACTCAGTTGATTCTTCACTACACATTTCCGAATTGACGATAAGCTCCAGCCTTCATGATTTACAAAAAACAATCTTAAGCCTGTGCTTTGCATAATTTTAAATACATTCTAATACCAAAATACTTCTTGCACCAAACTCCCCAACTCAGACAACCATCGTACATTAGCCAGAGCCCTGTGCTTAATGCCAACTTTAGCTGGATGTTCGAATCCATTCACTGTCCTTCATACAGTTTTACAATTAATTCACAGTTGCCAGATATTTGGTATGAATTATTTAACTACTCCTAACATTTGCATTTTTTTGGATTGTAGCTGTAACACACACACACCCTTGGTTACATAGTTTTCATTTATACTAATAAAAAATTACAGTTTGCCATTACACAAAGTGCAAATTCATTTTAACTTTATCTTAAGCAAAATGAGAAAATTATGTAGGGCCGTATTCATAGTCTCCACTGATTTTTTCAGGAACGCTTAAGTGTTTACTTATTTGCATTGACAATTCATAGTCGTCACTTCTCATTTGCTTAAGCATTCACTTATTCTTACAAATGAGCTTATCTGAACCCTTGTTTTTCGACGTGGAATAAGATCAAAGATTTTTTATGAGTTGTTGGAATTATTGCAATCAATATGGAAGATCGTATACCAAAATGATATTTGAGAGACAAAGAAAATTGTTTGGAACTGATATCGTTTTGACAAGGACATGGTTGTAAACATTAGTGTCTCTGTTAGCTCACTCAAAAGGTGGGCTTGAGGAATAGATGATAACCATTACCAAAAATACCTTACAATACTAATGGTACACAGATTTTATGCAACATTATCATTTCAGTTACATAATTTATTGCACAAATATCATACACCAATAATTATACTTATTAATCATGCAAAACTGGAAAAATTTTACAAATAGCAATTATCCACACAAGACTAAACGCACTGAAGCAATGAAATGAAATTTACAATTTAGTTTCTGCTGATTATCTGTCAATGAAACCAGATACCATTTATACGCATAAAAAATCCATCAAAATTGTAAACAAGATTGTCACAGCCTTCTATATTAGTATCAAGTAACCAATAAAGCAATGTTGCCATATATTGCCTGAAGGTGACTTAAATAAGTGGGGGTCTATGAATACGAAACTGTCATAAGGGTTGCCTAGGCTACTGCAGCAGCAGCAGTATGCTCTGAAGGAGGCCACAATACGCTTCCAAAATGTTAGCCACCATGTCAGTGACACGGCTCATCCTGGATAATCTAGACAACACAAACTCCGACTGCGGAAGTCTACGCAACCATGTCATAAGGGTTCACTTATTATAAGTAAATGCTTATTACTTAATTACTTATCATATAAGTGTAGACTATGAATACAACCCACAATCTTGTAAAAAATGAAGTGAAAAATCATCTAAGAGAAATCCAGGTTTTGACTGTCCCTAAAACTGAATAAAAATTTTGCTAGCGATTTGTTTTAACTTAACCAGATGCAAATCTGAAAGTTGGGAATATACTTTACATAACACTAGTACTACATTTTCTAAATTTTCTCAACTCCCTGGATTGAAAATAGGAAATTGAGCATAAAAATAGGGTAAAAATTTGTATTCAGTAAAACTTCCAAGTTTTAGACAATTGCAGAATTTTTATCTCTCTTCTATAATTCTTCATATCTAACATGCACTTTGTTAAAAAAACAAAAATGATCTTGAAACAAATTATTCTTAACTTTGGGATTTCAAATGATGCTATGTTATGCTCATTTCTGAATTTAAAAAATATTAAAAATAAATTATTTTCTTCTATTTAATTTTTCTTGCAAGCTCTTCGTATTTACACATTATGTTTTTACTATTCCATTGTTTAATGCCTTCACTATATTAAAAAAACTAGAAAATATTTTTGATAAAATGTCCCTATATCTTAAATGTTTATGTACACAACTGAAGAAAAAGAAAGGAACATTTCGCAAAAAATGGTGAAATGTAGATTTCCACTTCCCATATTTTTTCTCGGGAAACTCTTCTAGAAATATTCACTAGTAACATATTGAAATACAAAGGGCCAATAAAATGAATAATTCTTCATGACTTCATTACTTATACAAAATTACATACATCTGTATTTGCAAATTTCTTTTGATCTTCTAAAGATGAAATGGAGAAAGCACATGAAACGAATGGGCAATCATTACCACAGATAGCTGTAAATCATCACATTTGCATTCCATGGAGCCAGGGTCAGTTACTCCAGGCTCTTAAAAGAGCAGCTAGTACCCTACGGTAGTGCTACAAGAAATTTAAATATCAAAATCAGAAGTATGTGTGTGTAGGTGTACGTGTAAGAGTGTGTGAGAGGGGAGAGGAGGGACAAAGGAAAGATCACACATGGCCCTTGGCCTTTTTGTTAGGATACTACTCTGCCTTTTGTTCGGAATAATTGGAGGAACCATGAAAACTACCAATTAGGGCAGCAGGCCATCAGAATTGTCCTCCACACAGTAAATTAATTCAACCCTGATATTTAGCTAGTGTCAAAAATCGGCTTTCATGTTCTTGCCTTTAGCCAGCTCAGCTGGTTTAAAAAGTTAAAATGAAAGCTGAAAGTATCGAAATGATGTGAATCATACCCTGCCTGAGATGCAGCATTAAGAGCAGCTCCTGGTTCCCCACTTCGAAGGCAAAAATACACCACTGGCCACAAAGGTTGACCATCAACTGTAACTTCTTCCAAACCAGGAACAACTGATACCTGCTGTAATTTGGCATAACAAATGACAAGAGGTAATGTGCCAGGCCGACCACCTCTCCTGGCTTCTTGCAAGTTGCATTCCACTTTGTTTCTCATAAACACTTTATATCTGAAATAAAAGGATTCTAAGAATTTACAGCTTTTCACACTAAATGAAACAAAGTAACATTAAATATATTTTCATTACCTGTTTTCTAAAAACTTTCTTGCTTGTGTAATCAATGTTTGCTCCACTGTTGAAGTAGCTCTTGCTTTAAGAGGGTCACCAAGACTCTGAGGAGGAATTTCCGTCATGCAGGCTACCATATTCCAAAGGTCCATAGCTTTCTAGAAATAAAATTCTACTGCTTTACAGAAAGCTTACAGATAAGATTTTTATTCAGTAAATAAAAAAAAACAACATTATTTTTTTTAATTGATAATTAAAATATAATAACATTAATAATAATAAAAAATTAAACTAGAGTGATAATTACACTTTCATGTAAATCTCTGACAGCGTCATGGAAACGGTCTATCAATGACGGCCGGAGGGCTCCCTGAACGGCCAATCTATTGTACTCAGTCACAGCAGAAGCATATGCCGATTGTTGGTCATCCAACTGACTCCTTGATGATATACTACCATCATTAATAATAGATACCTGAAACATTGAGACAAAGTTAGGCACATCTACACTGGAATAAAACAAAATTTATTTTATCTACCAACAGCTTCCATTTCTTTGGGATTGTGAAAAAGTTTCCTTTTCACAATAAATTCCTAATATAATTTGTAAACTCATATCCACTTGATTGTCCAGAAGATGCTGCAACCTAGGCACATAGGAAACGGGTGAAATGTATTTCATTTCTTTGTTAAAAAGTTTCCCATTTACACTAAAATTCCTAATGTCATATCTACTTGACTGACAGGGAGACTCCTTCCTATGCCCTACATCCTAGGTACACACACATCAGGGCAAAATCCATTTCACGCTAAGGAAGGTTGCAGAGGATTGCCTAAACATTGGTATCTGTGCCTATGGTGCAGCGTCTTACAGAGAGCTAAGTAGATACCCACCCAGTCGCGGAAGACTACACTTTCATTGTATACTTGTGTTGTATGTAAAATCAAGCTCTAATTGTAATTTAATGAACATTTGATAATATTTTCAGAGCTACAATAGTTAACAATACTTTCCAATTAATTACAAGAAATGACACTTTTAAGTGGCCACCCAGTTTACTTTCAAAATTATCTATTAAAATGAACCATTTAATTTTTTTTAGTCGTTTTATAAAGACAATATAATTCTCAAAGAGTAAAACGCATACAAATGACAACTATTACCTAAGAAACCAGTCTGGCCTAAAATATTTATTCAAATGTACTAAACATGCTTTTACCTTTTTATATGATGTGATAGGTTTATTTTTCAAAGTATTTTATTTTTTAAGTTTCATTAAATCTTTCATTTAAACATTTGATGAAAATGTAACATTTTTGGTTTATTATCAAATATATTTTCACAAACAACATGGTAAGCAACAGGTTTTCCAGTCAATTAAAGATTTACAAATATTATTACCCAAAAATTAAATTGATTATTCATGAAGTAACCCTTTCCGCCAGTAGGATGACCATTTACGGCAGAAATTTCATGATCTCAAATTTTTGATTTTGCACTTTGCTGATTTTCAAAGTATTCTCCTTAAATAAGATTTGTGTTTATGGTATCATATACTCTATGTAGCTAAAGTTTCATTCTACAGCTGATTACAATTTATTTCTTTAAAATTATTTACTTTCTTTGCTAAAGGTGAAACTGAACAAACATGACATTTTCGCCAGACTTCTCTACATGCTCACATAAAAATTCACATCAAAAAAGGAAACAAAACGCAATTTTAGACCTGCAATTTGAACTCGGTGATGCCCATATTCTATTAAAGAGAGTCATCGGTTTGGAAACACAGTATTTTCAAAGACTACATAAGTTACCCGTACTCCTGCTAAAATGAAAGTTGTACAATTCAGTATTTCAAGGGTTACCCTCTTTGATACATTAGCTACTAAGCTTGCAAACAAATTATTTTCAATAGTTCCCCATTAGTAATAGTAATCCATTACTATTTTCCTAAAAAGCATTAAACGGGCAAACGAATAACAGATTCCTATTCTTGCCCCACAATTTATAAGTAATATCTGTTTACTGATTTATCCTACTCCCTTCCTGAAAATAATTCAATTATTTTGGACAATTAGCAGAGCAACAAGACTCTTTCTAAGCTCTTGCTCTCTTCTAAATGACTTCTAATAAAGCAGAAGACAAATGATTTCTTACAGAAACAAAATTTTCACTTGCAATAAAAAAATATGCATCTTATATTTAGTTAAGGTCAATTCTAACAAACAGATTCCGTTTTCAATAAGAGAATGAAAGTACTGAGAAGATGAAATTTTATTTGCAAACGAGGAACATATATTTTTGAATTGTAAATTTTGTAATGTAAAATTCTTCATGAATTGTTGAATATTTTAAAAAATAAAAAAAAACTTCAATCTAGAAACCAATCCTTTGTAACAGCACAATACCTCCGGACGTGCAGAAATGCCAAGCATTTCATCAGAAGATCCAAGCAGAGCATTAAGAGCTTTTAGTTTTTCTTGACGCCAACGATTATTCACATCATCCCACATACGATGTTCAGCAGTTTCAAATGACTGTAAATTAAAAACAATTGTAAGCACTACTGTCTTAGTTTTAATCTAATTTTATTTGTACATTTGGGAATGGAGCAGTTAAAATATGACAGAACTCTCTACAATATAAAGTGCCATCATTGCAGTACACATAAAAGTATTATTATAACTGCGAGAATCTTTGCATAAAATAGGGTAGATGTTCTAAGAGACATTCTGGTGACAGAAAAAGAACAAAGAAAGAATTTAAATAAATACAAAGAAATATTCCAAGCCTCTTCAGCTAACTGTCATGGGCAGAAAACACATTGATACCACTACATCAGATGCATCAAAAGAACAGTCTCCCCAACAGAATATGCAAATGGTAATGAATGCATATTTGTGCGCTATTCTGTTGTTATAAATGAATTGTTATGGCTCAAATGAAAAGCATGATAAAAATCAAGATGAATTATTATGATAAATCTTAACTGCTCATGCATGTACAATGATCCAATGTTAGTGAAGGTCCTCAGTAAACAAGTGCTGTTCACAAGTATGATTCATTTTAATAATTATTTGTAATCAAAAGAAGGCAGCAACTCATTGGTTTCAATTATTGGAATTAATATTAATATCTGGATAATAAATCTTTCATTATATGAGCTTGAAAAACAAGGAATCCCATATTTACTAGATTATCTGGTAATTCTTGACTAAAAATTACGTTCCAATAGGTTAATTCAATACAACAAATACCGTTTGAACAAATTACATACATACAAATACATTTGAACAGTATTTTTTATAACTCTCTAGTACTTACGGTTCTATTGGTCTCTTCAATGATAGACAATATAGCATTTTCAAGTTCATTTTTCAAGAAAGTTTGAATATCAGCTTCTGGTACAGGTTCGAGAGGCTCAAAGGTTTTCCGTGTACTTAAAGTCTCAAGCTTTTGAGAAAGTTGAGGTAAATCAACTCCTTTTGATCCCAATAGTACATGCCTAGCAACAATTAAAGTTTCACAAATAGAAACACACCAACACTAGTTAACCAACAACCCTTTCAATGAGTAATTTCCTTACGCCTGTAAATCTTGTGCTCCAGTCTGCGTGACACGCGACCACAGTTCAGTAGATGCCTCAAGAACCTGTCTAAGGGACCTTTCAACTTTTGGTAATTCTCGACTTCCATCAACTTCTGCAGAAAGTTGCTCAGCAGCATGCAGTAAAGCATTGAAATCTGATTCTGCCATTTTAAAATCTTACAGGAAAAACGTGCAAAGAGCAATGTTTTAAATAATTGAAGCAAAAATTGATAAATAATTTACAGCATCATTCAATACCCGATCATAACAAACTACAAGTGTATAAACTTTGAAGGTTAACCGGCAGAACACCACCTGCACAACCTGGTGAACGAACACCCGCCACGACCCGGCGTAACTCCCCTATACCCTGCCTATACTACGATTTTTCGTCACAACGGCCATTGGATGATCGCGATTGGACGAAACTGTCGCGATTGGAAACAATTGCGATTGGAACAATCACTATTGGATGAAACTGTCAGCAGCCTGCCAGGGGCAGAGTTGAATAAATCACAGTATATACCGTTCGTGTGCCTATACCGTTCATGTGTCTTTCCCACTTCTCGGAATTCCAACTTACTTTGAAAAAAATCATACATTCAGTTACTACTTTTATACGTTATTTTGTTGTACATCATATTCAAATTATCTAAACATCTCAAACATATGTAACTCGGTTCCATCTGTTTGAATTTTCTTCATATTACACAACAACACAATATTTTATATTTAATAAGGAATCAGCCAAACATTTACTGTTTTTCTTGTTGGCGACACTTCAACATTTCATGGATCGGGCCGATATGAATTCAGATCGCTTTCAATTGGTAATATCCGCGCAATTTAGAGTGGGGGTATTACTGCAGTACCGGCAGCGTATAAGTACAGTTTAATATTTACACAGCCCGGTTTTACTTTGCCGCTTTTTCCGGATTACTTGCTTCGGTTTCATTATTCTTTAAAACAACATTCTCGACTAAGTAACGAGATGATGTGTTCGTATTTTTTTTACAATATTTCACATTGTTATAGTTTTGCTTTCGTTCAAAATATCCTCATTATTTTTAATAATTCTTGCCTGTATTATTACTTCCCTTAAAATTCCTTTGTATTCTAGGAAGTAGACATGGAAACCGGGTGATATGTTATGATCTTTAGAAATAAAGTAAAGCTTTTTTTTTACTCGATTTTCCATTTTGTAGTGTGATTCAAGTATTATTTTTCCGTGAAATATTTCGGTTTTTTTTAGAGTAAAGCATGCAATAAAGTAAAATGAAATTTTTGAGAAAAATAAATTATATTTTTCATTTGTGTCAACAGCGTGACTGAGGACCAAGGACGATGCTTCCTATACATATATTTCTTTTACTGAACCTTAATATGTTAAGAGTGAGCGTTTGTGCATAGACAGCTGAAATTGTTACAAGTTTTATATATATATATATAATATATATATGATATATTATTATATATATATATATATATAATATATATAATATATATATAAAACTTGTAACAATAATTCAGCTGTCTATGCACAAAGCTCACTTTAATACTTATACTCTATAATTCTCTTATATATATATACTTATATATATATAATATATATATATATATATATATATATATATATATCAGTATTGCTTGACTTGAAAATATGTTCCCACCGTTAAGTAAGTCAGTTTTGACAGATATTACAGATTCGTAAAGAAATATGTAAGGTAATGGTAAGATTCCAAGCTCAATGAAGAGAGGCTTGAAGGAATCACGTGGATGGCATTTTTTCATTATTCGAATAATTTTCTTTTGCAATCTAAAGGTTATGATTCGAGGGGAGCAGCTTACCTAGAATATTATGCCAGATCTCAGGCGGAAATGCACATCTGGCGGCTGTAGTATGGTGAAGCAAATGTAAATAATCTGGTTTATTAATATTTATTAAGAGTTTGTTGGGGGACCAGCCGCTACTGCTAGAAACACTACACTAAAAGAAGGAAAACATTCGATATTTTCACATTCCCACCCGTTGGTATCAGGAACCCATAGTATTTGTAAATAAAAGTAAGAAAAATACTTTAAAATACAGAAACAAAAGGTAAGTTAACAATTCTAGAAATAGCTTGATTTATAACATGTACTCAATATGTGCACCATCAGCGGATATACACATTTGAAGACGCTTGTAATGAAACCTTCGAACAGAATTCATAGTTTCACGTGAAATGGCATAACAAGATGCCATTCTCGGCGTTTCTGATCTTCAGATGTTGTTGGTATTTTTGAGTAAACTTCGTTCTTTATCGTTTCCCATAGAAAATAGTCCATGGGCGTAAGATGGGGTAACCTTGCCGACCAGTTTACTATAGCACCGCGTCCAATCCATCGGCTGGGGAACCTCTCATTCTGGACATCAGTCATGTTGCATTCACATACAATTTCTCATATCAGGGAAATTTCCTCCAGAAGCAGCGGCAATGTTTCACGAAGAAATCTTGCGTATTTGTTTCCTGTCAAATGTCCATCCATGAAACAGGTACCTATGATGGTGTCGTTAAGAATACCGCACTAGACATTAATACTTCATTGCTTTTGGTTCTCAACTCTCGAGACTCAACTCTCAATTCAACGAAGGCAGCGAGGATTGTCCACTGCCCAGTAGTGCATGTTGCGTAGATTCACCTGACCGTGATTCGTAAATGTTGCCTCATCGGTAAACATCATCTTCTTAATCCTCCGTCCTGATCATCTCGCACGTTTCCCAGAGCAAAACGACAAAACTGAACACGTTTCTGGTAATCACCATCATAAAGCTTCTGGTGCATCGAAAGGTGGTAGGGGTGAGACTTCAAGATGCGGAGGGCACTCGAACGACTAATGCCGGAATCTCTGGCAATGTCTCGAGAGCTGATATGGGGATTGTTGTCAACTGCTGCAAGAACGGCGGCCTGTGCTTCATTCGTTGCCCTTCTGCTCCGCAAACGAGTCTTTGCGTTCCAGTCGCCTCTCTGCACAAGGCTTTTACAGATTCTCATTATAGTCATGTGCGAAAGCCTCCGTCGATCAGGATATCTTTCAGCATACAGTAACGCACTTTTCTTTGCATTTCTGCCTCATTCATCGTACACCAGAATTAGGTCCAGCTTCTCCTCGTTCGTATACATCTTCCCGGATATTTCAGCACTATTTCACTGCGATTACAATTTTTTTTTAAATCTGGAGAGTTCCCGTTTAGCAACTGACTGCATTTCCTTTCTCCACCGCCCTTTTATTCTTCCTACCCTTCTTACGTCACTTCGAGGCATCTCCAGTTTTCCCACTTTACTCGGCCGGCACAACGGAAGGGAATGGCCTCGCCGCATTTCTCGTTCAGATTACGGAAACCAGCAGTCGGCGTGCGTCTTTAAAACTTATTTTCTCGAAATTTGTGTTATGTAACATATGGCTATATGCATATTTATGAACTCGTCTCTTCACGCTTGTTAAGATGAGCTAAAAAAATCTGTAGGGTTCCATTTGAAAAATCGAAGTTGGGTAAATATCTCTGCAATAAAAAATGCAATAGACTAATATTATGCATGACTGTATGTGCCCCGTGCATATAGTAGTTTCAATGAAAACCGCATCTGCAACGCTTCAGGGGAAAAATGAAAGGAACATCTTAGGTGGGCCACACGGTATATAAAAAATAACTCTGTTTCTCGCTGCAACATAGAACACTTTATGTTACGTAAAAATACATGCGAACGTAAATGAAACTCAATTTTGAGTAATCGTTGACATGCAAAACATCCCGCAATGCAATATTATTCTGAAAAATGCGATGTGTGTGAAAAATGTAAGAGAGCGACGTAATTGTAATAATATTGTAAGGGCGTTTTAAATATATATAAACCAACAATTCTTATTGTAATTTCATTTGTGTAATATATAATTTGAATGTGCACTCCTCGTTAAGCGTAGTTCTGAATTATGATGACTATCAAAAGAGCGCGTCACGAGGCTACAGAAATAATTTTTTCACAAACGAAATGTGGCAGCACTGGTGCCATGCTCAGACCATGCTGGTCACACTGAAGTTCTGGCGGCTGTAATATGGTGAAGCAAACGTAAATCATGTAAATCATCTGGTTTACTTATGTTTGCTAAGAGTTTGCTAAATGGTAGTTATTTTACAATTTTAAGAAATGATAATTGGCTAAGATTTGAATTTAAATTTAATGTTTGGTGAAATTGAGGTGTGACACCTTTTTGAATTCAGGTTTGAAATATTTCTATTCAAATAACATGTTATGTAGCCTTTCCTTCTCTTTACCAATATACCTAACGCAAGCACGTCTTGGACAGTGGCAATATCGTAACCAATAGTAAAATGTTTTCTGTCATTGTGATGAATTAAAGGCGGTCTTTACTCGAAACAAGTATTTATTCAAGTTTTATGGATTTTGTCTCACGGTTTTTGCTAGTATAACACCCTGGGTAAGATTACCTTTTGCAAAAGATTGTATTAGGTTTTTCGGCATTGAAATTTTATGGTTGAGGTGTTGCTGCAGGAATTCTAGATAATGTATCTTACCTGGTTATTAGACTGTACATATTCAAGCTGTAGAAACCTGTTATCCTTATAATCAAATGTTGAACTGATAATTTATAGTTTTAGGAATTGTGTAAAAAACAATAATGAAAATTGACAATTGTGAATCTTAAATGTAAATATTCTTGCAGTGAAATCTGAAAGTTGTTTCAGTTATGAATGTTAAGTAAGAACCTAATAAGAAACAATGTTATTTAAATGTCACTTTTCAGAATTTTGAGAAAGTGCAGCATCAGCAATTTATTTTATTTTAAGATACTAAGGTGTGCCAAACCGGGAAATGAAATTGTGAAAAGTCTGCAACAATAGTCAGGTCTAACTTTTTCATTTCCTCTGTGCTCTATTTTTCATCTGGGTATCTTTGATGTTAAAGAATTATAATTACGTACTTTACAGATTTCTTGCAAAGACTGTTATTTAATGTAAAGGTATTTTTATTGTGTGCAGACATGGCATTGTTGAAGGAAGTGCCTGATGGGGCAGAACTGGTGGAGATAACGGAGATTATTCACGCCAGTGCATTTTGGGTAATTGCAAGTGGATCAATGTCAGAAACAAGCAGTGAGGAATGGAGCAAGCCTCGAGCCCAGTTGGAGATGCTAGAAATGTTCTTGGCAAGTGCCAAGCTCACAACTGTTCCCAGGAACCGTGCTCCCTGCTTGCAGGAGGTAAGCTTTGTTCAGTCATCACTGTTGGTGCTTTTTGACATCTGTTGATGTCAAACCAAATTGAGAGGCATAGTCCGTGAGTGACATGATTCTCCTCTATTTTGCAAATGTTGGCCAACTTGTTATAGAGCTGTTTTATTCCTTATTTTTTTTGACACACTGCCATCTGGAGGAGGTTCCAATGATATCAGTGTATTTATGAAGCTAGAATGTAAGAAAAGTACACTGTGAAACATAATTCTAAAGAGGTATAATTATTTGATTATAATTTAGACTATTTTGAGTTTCATTACAAGTGTAATGAAAGTAAACGCAGGCTCCTTAAAATTCTGTATTGTGTCCTGTTCATTTACATATGTTTGATGCTTTAATTCACATGCAAACATATTCTTATCTGCTTTACAACATTTGTTCAATTCTTATGATATTCTTAGTATCAATATTGGAACATAGTAAATCACTGATGAAAATTATCTCTAACCTCTAACTCCACACACTAAACGAACTCTTTGGAGACATTTTTATCATCTGTCTGACAGAGGAATACATTTCGAGAGTAGTGTTTTTTTGGAGAAGGGCAACTGTTTTAGAACCTTGCAAACGCTTATTTCTTTTTCCTCCTTTAACAGCTTCATATATTTTTTTAAAATAATTTTCCTTTCAAATCTAAGCAGTCTCGGCATCAGTATTGGTAATGCCCCAGGTTTCTGCCCTCAAGTTATACTGCAGTTTTTCCATTGGTGACTGATGTAAATCAGCTGTTTTGGTGACATCCAATTGGAAGGTTGAATGCTACCATTGTCACTGTAGTGACGTGTAAGGTTCTGATTGGATAGCACCGTAACAACTGATAACCTGCCTGAGGCAACTTTGAATAAATCACAGTATACATTTGGTCTAGTGAGAGTTTTGTGTATCATGACTATTTTCAGTCAGTAGAGCAGATATCAGGAGTGATGCATTTGTATATTATGCTTCATTAACATTCCCCCCTTTTTATTTATTTATATATTTATACAAATGGCAACAGTAAACTGATATAGCCACAATCATGATATTTGTTTCAATTAATTTTCTATTAAGTAAATGTTAATGATTTATAATCTGAAATCATAGAGGCAAGAATAAAGTCTTTTAAATTTGGAGACAGTGCTGGCTGAGTTGAGCTCTTGTGGAAGGTTATTCCAGTAATTAACCATGCATGCATTCAAGGATGTTTTTGTAGTTGACGTGTTTGAATATAGCTTTTTTTAGGTTCATGTTGTGTAATAAGGTTGCTGGTGGCTGCAGCGTTTGTGTAGAAGTTTTAACAATTCCTTAGCATCATAGAGGCCATGAAGTATTTTGTAGGTTTCAATGATGTCAGCTCCCTCTCCTAAAAGATAAAGATTGTATGTGTAGTTTATGTAGTCATTCTTCATAAGATAAATTTCTAATAGGTTATAGAAGTTTTGTGGCTTTACGTTGGACTCCCTCCAAAGGAATCATATCCTTCTTGAAGTAAAGATTTCAAACGCTAGTGTCATATTCCAATATTGATCAAACATATGCAGTGTACTTGCTGTGGTTTCAGAAACTCTTGCATAACAATAATTTTACAAATGTTGGCTAACTACATTTGCTGCTTCTTTCAAATGTTTTATGCAGATAGTAGCTGTGAATCATCCACAGACTGGGAAGTGGCATCGTGGCTGTGTGCAGGCTGTAAAAGATGCTAACAAGTGCCTTTATTATGTGTTCCTAATTGATCATGGACACACTGTGGAAGTGTCTGCTTCAGCCCTCAGGGACATTGATGAGTATTACAAGAAGCAAGAACCACTGGCCAATCAAATATTGCTCTTTGGCATTGTGCCTGGCAAACGTACATTACGCCAACCTCATGGTGAAAGACTTATGTAAGTTGTGTGTTTATTCAAAATTTAGTTTTATGGTTTTTGGTACATTTGAGAATTGATATACTAATGTTCATTTTTGTATTGATAACAATTAAAACAATAATAATGATCATGATGATAATGATAATAATCCCACCTCACGGTGCAGACTGTTGCCGCAGCCATCATCTGCGCTCAGGAGGCTGCATGTTCAAGTCTTGTGTAGACAAGGTCATATTTGTCTCATAATTCACACTTCAAGACGTAACTACCTTGTTGTACTGAAAATCTGATTCTCGTAGTTACCACTTTAATCGTGTACCTTGGTCAGAAATTACTGGTCTGTAAATAATGATAATAATAATAATAATAATAATAATAATAATAATAATAATAATAATAATAATAATAATAACAATAACGACGACGACAATATAAAAACGCCAACAATAATAATAGTGGGTAATTATTTATTACAGAAAATTATGGGTCTTGAAAAGGTTTGCAACTGCTCCCAAGTCAGATTTAATAAAAAAATAGGACTTTTTTAAATTTAAAAAAGTTTGTAGTTCTCTAGCAATATCTTCCAATTGCAATTTGCAATTATCTAGCAATGTGCTTCCACCAGGTACAATAATAATGATGATGATTATAATAATGAATTTCAGTTCTTAGTACAAGTTACCATTTTAGGCCATGTCATGAATTGAGTTTGACAAACTACTGAATACTACAAATTTTAACTATTTTAACATAAATATTTTCTTGTAATATAGGATCACTACTATGTTACAAAATAATCTTCAAGACCATACTATTAGTATACAAATAATTACATTGTATATAAAAAATACATACATTGTCACATACAATACATTTAATATACAATTTAATAACCCAATATATTAATATATTATACGAACTTTCATATATAGATATTTATCCATACTTGCACGTGTAGATTCAGCATAAAATATTTAATCATTTCTCTTATTGTATGCAATCGACAATATTCTACATGTTCGATAATGGTTTTTTATGACTCTTCTAAAAAATATAGTGCTTTGTTTATTAAGTCTTTCTTTAGTTCTTTTTTGAATTTGAAATTGCTTAGATTTTTTATTTCATTTGGCAATTTGTTGAAAATTTTGTCTCCTGAAAGATAAGGATTTTTCTCAGTTTTTTTGAGTTTTGTACTCATGAAATGTTGATTGTTCTTATTTCTGGTTTTATAGTTATGTATATCTTTATTTTCTAGCAGTTTCCATTGCACTTCATTAATAGTATGGTATTGTATATATATATTTAGCCCATGTACCATTAGGAAATTCCCTTCTCGGAATTTATCTCTGCCGGTTTCTATTCTTTTCATGTTATATATTGTTCTAATTGCTTGCTTCTGCAAAATGAGTATTTTAGACTTATGTTTTTATGTACTACCTCGCATATTAATTCCCTACAGAATATGAGGATATATTATTCTGTAATAAATTGTTTTTAGTTCTCTTTCGCCAAGTATTTTACTAAATTTTTGTAATACAAAAATTCCTGAGCTGATTTTATTACACACTTTGTCAATGTGACCCACCCAGGCTAAGTTAGTGTCCATCTCTACTCCCAGGAATTTGATTATCTGTACATTTGATAAAGGTTCATTTTGTATACTTGTTGCAATGGAATTTTTTGTCTAGAGGATTCTGTGAGAACATTACTATAGTTGTTTTGTTTCCATTAACATTTAGACTGATTTCATAGGATGATTTCTAATAGGCAGCTTTTAGTTAATTTATTCAATTTTTGTGATTGTGATTCTTATTCATATCGTGTGATTTGTGCCAATATAGAAATGTGTGTTGTATCATCTGCATAGTAAGTTTTGTATCATTGGCTGGTTGAAAATTATTGATGTGTACAAGAGCACTGATCCTTGTGGAACTCCACCATGTGTTGTAATTTTGTTTGAGCTGCATCTATTTATAGTGCTATTTTCTGAGTAGAGTGTTTCTGTAGATTGTTGACGGTCAGTGAGAAATGATTTTAGAAGATTGTGAGCTATTCTATGAATTCCATAATTTTGTAATTTGTCTAAGAGTACGATATGATTTACTTTATCGAACGCTTTGGACCATAAATTTTCCACTAACCTTCAATCTATCATCAAGCTTGGTTAGAATATTATTGTACAAATCTGTGATTGCAGCGATGGTTGAGTTTTTTTTTCTAAAACCATGCTGATAGTCTTCACAGAAGTGAGTTTTCTTTGAAATATCTAATCAGGCTATGACGTTTTGTGTTATTTTACTGAACGGTGATATAAGTGATGTTGACCTATAATTTGATGCCATGTTTGTCCCATCATTTTTGAAGAGAGGTTTAATTATTGCAAATTTAAGGATGTCTGGAAACATTCCATTTTGAAATGTAGAGTTAATTAAATGTTCCAATGGAAATATTAAAGAATTAACACAATTTTTAGTGCCACAATTGATACCTCATCCCACTCTGCTGATTTTTTGTTTGTGAGTTCCACTATGATATTTTCTATCACTTTAGCTGTTGTTTATTGCAAGAACAAGGAGTTTGTAAGTGCACTATGTTGTGTTGTCTACACTTGTTATTCTGTTGTTGGAATTTGGTTGTGTAATTGATGAAAAGTAACAATTAAAGATTTCATTTACTTTATATGGATCTGTTACGTCTCATTTGGTGTAAAAATCTTGTTCACCTGACCCCTCATGGGCTTCCAGTGGGTTGTGGTTTGAGGTTTTTTGACTCCTCTCCCCCATAAGGGACGGGGATCGGGAGTCTGGGTTGTTGGCGGAAGGGTTAATTTATCTATGGAGAGAGGGGTTGTTTTATTAAGGTTGTGGATGACGGGGGACAGAAGGGGCAGGTCCTAGATGGGAGGGGATAGGGTGGGGTGAGAGGGAAGAGATGGACAAGAATTTAGTCAAAGGAGGTGGCGGAGTTTTGTTGTCGACGACATATGCAGCATGTCAGTCATATTGTCAATTCGTTGTCGATTTAATTTGTCGTTTGTTTTTGCCCTCTGGCTTAGGTGATAGGAGGGGAAGTGAGGGATTTTTGGATTTGGGCTATTGCGGAGTTTTGGAGGATGTGAGGTATTTTGTTTTTGTGTCGTATGGAGTTGTAAATGGTGTACATGCATGGGCAGAAGATGAGGCGGATGTTGTGGTTTTCCACACGGGTTAGTTTGGCGTAGTTGGTGAGGGATGTAGCGAACCAAGTGGGGACAGATATAAGAGTTGTAAGTTTGGATTTTTCTCTTGTTGGGTATATGGGGATTGGCGAGGATGGGATATAAGGTATTGGTGATCCTGGTTGCTTTGACAGTAATTTTGTGGATATGGTTGGACAAAAGAAGTCTGCGGGAGAAGGTTACGCCAAGGTTGGATATTTCTGGTGTCCAGGGGATTGGTTCCTTTCCAATGGTTATAGGAGGGGGCTTGGATGGGTATATTTTATAGGAAAAAAAGGATTGCTTGGGATTTGGATGGGTTTATGATGATGGTGTTTTGGGAAGCCCAGAGGTGGAAATGGGAGCGAAAGGAAGCTAGGAATCTTGGTCATCGGCGTGAAAGAAAGTTTGTACTCCTGGTGTTGGTGAAACGTCATTTATATACATGGAAAAAAGGATTGGGGATAGCACAGCGCCCTGTGTGGCGCCGGCTTGGATTGGGTAATTGGGAGAGGTTTTTTATAGGTGTCGGATGTGGAAGGAGCAATGATTTAAATAACTTTGTAGTAGGGTGTGAATATGATTGGGGATATAGGGTCGGATTTTCATGAGAAGGATTGGATGGGAGACTATGTCGTACGCTTCGGTGAGGTCTGTGAATATGGCAGGGATTTCTTTCCTATCTTGCAGTGGGGTGGCGATGGCTAGGGAAAGGTTTAAAGTTTGTAGGGCTTCCGAGTGACCTTCACGGAAACCAAATTGTGTGGAGGTTATGATGGTATTGAGGAGAGGTGTTAGACGAAGAAATATATTTTCGAATATTTGACCAAGGATGGGTAGTAGGCTGATGGGACGGTGGTTAGATGGGAGCCGATGATCCTTGCCAGGTTTGGGGATCATGGTAACACGAGCAATCTTCCAGATGGTGGGGAAGTAGGACAGTCTTAGGCAGGAGGTGAGGATTAGGGTAGTCAGGTTTATTGCATTTTTAGTTAGTAGGGCTAGTTGAGATGGGAGGACTTCATAGAGTCCGGGCGATTTGTTGCAGTCTAGTCTTGCTTTGTGGAGTTTCAAGGAAATTCAAAATAACATTATCTGGGTTTGGGAGGTTGTGGGGGAGGAACCGTTTGGCCAGGGATTGGGCAAAGGTATTGGTGATGGTTTGGGGGTCAAAGGTTAGGGTATTGTTGGTGGTTAGGATAGGGGAAATGGGAGTGGGGTGGTTCCTGATTACTTTTATGACTTTATGGATATTAGGGCTGCTTTTGTCAGATAGTAGATGTCATACTTATGTGTCTTGTGATGTTTAAGTAGGTTATGTATTGTTTTTTGCGTTCTTTTTAGTTCTCGTTTGTCGTCTTCTAGTCTATATTAGTATTATCATCGTTGAATTCGTCGTTTACGTCGTATGCTCGTAAGGATTTCGTCAGGGAGGGTGGGGTGTGTATTTCTGGAGGAGGATGTGGTTTTTGATATGTTTGTTTTATGTAGTAGGTAAGGTGATCTATGGAGTTGTCTATGGATTGGGTGGCGTGTATTTTCTTAGGTAGTATGTGTTTACATTTTTTTCCAGTCGGTTTTTGGTATTGATGGGGGTTTGGGAAGCATGTTGTTGAGGGTTGAGGAGTTGGTGAAAAGTATTGGGAGGTGGTCAGATAGGTCGAACAGGTTGTATTTTGGGTGGGGGATGGTTATTAGTATTTGGGAGGAACGGAGGATAATATCCAGGATATTGTGGGGAATATGTGGAACAGGTGGGTAGGTTCAGTAGGTTATTTGGATTTGTGGGTTTCTGTCTATGAAAGGCTCTAGTCGTAAGCTG